AGGCACCAGGTCTACCACACCCTACCTCTAGAGTTGTGCACAGAAAGGTCCTTCTCTCTGCTACCCGGCAACCTTCGACAAGAGATGCCAGGGATCGAACCCGGGACCTTCTGCGTGCAAAACGGGTGCTCAATGGGTGCTCTACTGCGGAGCGACAGCCCCTCCCAACAACAGGACAGAAGAGTAGGCTGAGAGTGTTTTGAGAACAACTTGTGCTTTCCTCGGGGAATGTCAGGTTGGTGAACTGTAGCGACAGCCAGCATCGCAAGACTGTGAGAAAAGCAGTACGGATGCTAGGCTAAAATTAAATATTTATCAGTGGATGATTGTAGCATCACTAATTATAAGCTAACACAGTCTGTTAAATGAACAAGGTGTATAATGTAAAAAAGCAGAATCAAAATATTTTTTTAAATTTCATTTTATGTCTCTCACTCCCTATTCTTGAAATAGCTGAAATTATAAAAACTGTTATAAGGTTAAGGACATACTTTAAAACATGCTTTGTACTTAAGGTACATGCACCTTATATTATATATCATATATACTTTTTCCCTCCAAATATAAATGTTATTAAAATACCAACATCAACAATAACAAAAAAGAACCATGAACTACATAACATCAGTGGGTATGCTGTACAAAGCTCATATGAGCACTGCCATTAAATCTTAACAATTTTAGCGATAGGTCCTGTTATAGTACACACACATTACTCAGGGGTCATTTCCTGCAGGAGCGCACAGGAGAGGAGCTCCGGCAGTAAAGAGCCCAGGGGGCGGGCACATGCAACAAGCCCCACCCCCTGCTCCCAGTAGCCCTCAGTGAGAGCAAGAAGCAGCCAGGTAAGTTGCAGAGCCCCCCCTGGGCCCCCGGTCCAAAACAGTCCAGTGGCACCTTTAAGACCAAGTTTTATTCAGGTACAAGCTCTCCCTCCTCTGCGGTGACAGATCTGCACGTTCCCCCCCCCAATAGCTAGCAATCCAAAACAGTCCAGTGGAGCCTGAGCGGTGGGTGTTGTCTTCTGACACGCTTCCGGTAATGTCAGGGGGTGTGGCATATGCAAATGAGTTATGCTAATGAGTTATGCTAATGAGCTCCTGCACCTCTTTTTCTACGAAATGACCCCTGCCATTACTACAAGCATATTACCATAGCTCAAGATAATTGACTTCATTTGGGATCATCTGTACTTTTGAATGTCCTTGATGAATCTAAACATTTGTAAACTGTATTCTAATTCACTCCCCACTCCCCTCTTTTTTCTGTATCCTTATCAATATTAAAATTAAAAAAACAAACATTGCAGGGCGATGGTGCAGGTCAAAGTAAAACTGGAACATAACAAGAAACGGGTGAACACACGTATCAGTCTATCTAGAGCGCACGTGGCCTTCCCAAATGCCAGTCTCTCCCTCTTCTCCGCAGCCATGTCCACAACACAGAGAAGGGGCCATGGCTCAGTGATAGAGCACACCTGCTTTGCTTGAGTAAGGTCCCAGGTACAATCCCCAACACCTTCAGTTAAAATGATTAGCTAGGTAGGGGATGTGAAAGACCGGGGGGGGGGGGCTGCCACCACTCCCAGCAGACAATACTGACAGACCAAATTTAAGGCTGCTTCATGTGTTTGCGTGTGTTTGACATTCCGGAAAAGTATTACGGCCAGTGGACACTCTGCAGCTCTAGCTTCTTGCATCCACAAGAACCATTAAACTCTGCCTGTACGCATGGCCTTCGCTGTTGTGGCCCCCACCTTGTGTAATGGTCTGCCTGACCAAGTCAAGGAAGCTCCCATTCTCCTAGCTTTCCGCAAACTATGTGTAACTGAATTATTCAAGAGGGCTTTTCTACCCAGGCATTAGGGTACTACTGCACGAAACTATTCCCAAAGTTACTTGGATAAATTGTTAGGGACTGTGGTCTGCACTACTCTGTATAGTTTGCTGTAAGTCCGATCATATTATGTAATTTTGAATCGGTTAAGTCAGGGGTGTCGAACTCATTTGTTATGAGGGCCAGATCTGACATAAATGAGACCTTGTTGGGCCGGGCCATGTGTGTCATAAAATGTAATGTCAGGTAGCAGAGATATAAACTTCATAAAGGACACAAACATAAAGGTGGGGTTTTTAACTTAAAATAAAAACATGCTTAAAACATTAGCAATCTTGCAATATTTTCATTTATTTAATAGTGTCTGATAACTGACACCTCTTGCTCTAAATTATTGCATCAGGCTATCTGTGGAGTTGCAATCTTGAGTATGCTGTTCAGATGTGTGTCTGTAAGCTGCAAACCTACGATGACGCAGCAGCAGCAGAACTGGAAGAAGAAACAGAAGACAGCCAGTTCTACTGTGGGCCTGATAGAAGCCCTCCAGGGGCCTGATCCAGCCCCCGGGCCGCATGTTTGATACCCCGATTTAATGCGTCATATTAACAGTCGTGCTTTGCTCCAGTTCTGTTTTTTAGGTTTCTAGCTAATTCAACAACCCAAATACTATTTCATTGTTCACTGAATATCCCATCCAGTCAATTGTGCTGACTCACTCTGTAAGCCCCAGTGAGAAAGGCGGACTATAAATAACATCCAGGGCAGTGTTCCCTCTAAGCTGAGTTAGTGTGAGCTAGCTCACAGTTTTTTAGCCTCCAGCTCACACATTTTTGTCTTAGCTCAGGAAGGAGGGCTCCAGAGCAAACTACTTTATGCAGCAGCCCAATCACTCGCTCACAACTTTAATGCCAGTAACTCACAATGTAGAATTTTTGCTCGCAGGACTCCACGGATTAGAGGGAACCAGGGCTCTTTTTGTAGCAGGAACTCCTTTGCATATTAGGCGACACACCCCTAATGTAGGCAATCCTCCAAGAGCTTACAGAGCTCTTCTTACAGGGCCTACTGTAAACTCTTGGAGGGCTGGCTACATTAGGGGTGTGTCGCCTAATATGCAAAGGAGTTCCTGCTACAAAAGGAGCCAAATCCACTAAGCCTTCAGTGCAAGAGGAAACCAGTTTGTGTCCCATTTTGCTACTGTCTGGGAAATTTCCAACATTGCTTGCCAAAGACCCCCCAAAACATTTCAAGACCTATGTACACAAACATATATATCCCTCAAAGAGTAGTTGCCAAGAGAGGCCTTATTTTATTTTCAGGAGACATGTCGATTTTCCTTGGCACAGCAGAGAACCAGAAATAGCGCCAAAGGTTGTACCCGCAGAGTTGGAAATCACTGAGAAATCTTGTGTGCCAGTAAGCTATGAACAGAATTGCTCGACAGATACAGAAACTAGGGCAAAGGGCACAGCAATTCTCAGTTACATAAGGGCTCCCAGTAGCCCCAAAGCACCTGTCCAGAGGATGCTTCCTGCTGTATGTCTGCATGAGTCACCTTGCCTCCCCTTGAAGACTGTTCTCTTACAGTTACCATTTACTCATAAGCAACGCTCCCGCTAAGCTGTGGAGTCTTGTGAGCAAAAATTCTACTTTCTGAGCTACTGGCATTAAAGTTGTGAGTGAGCGATTGGGCTGCTGAATAAATTAAGTTTGCTCTGGAGCCATCCTTCCTGAGCTAAGGCAAAAATGTGTGAGCTGGAGGCTTAAAAACTGTGAGCTAGCTCACACTAACTCAGCTTAGAGGGAACACTGTTCATAAAGCTCTTTATAAGTAATATACATTGTTGGTATCGCAATGGGGACGTGTAGGAGAACCTCCTGACAGATTGTGCCTCGCAAATCGTATCAAATTGCTGTGCAATAAAGTTAGACCACCAAGTCAGACAGCAAAAAAACCCCTTAGACTCCCCAGACTCCCCAGAGCTTCCTCAGGCCCTGAAGAAGCTGACCTCATCACAGCCCCAGGGAGGGAGAGGAGACCACCCTCTATGTCACCACTGAAAGGGACTCATGGGGAAAGGGGTGCAGGCAGGGGTCATTTCCTGTAGGAGCGCACAGGAGCGGAGCTCCAGCAGTAAAAAGCCCAGGGGGCGGGCACATGCAACAAGCCCCACCCCCTGCTCCCAGCAGCCCTCAGTCAGGGCAAGCAGCAGCCAGGTAAGTGGCACCTTTAAGACCAAGTTTTATTCAGGTACAAGCTCTGCGAGGACAGATCTGCACGTTCCCCCCCCCCCCCCCATAGCTAGCAATCCAAAACAGTCCAGTGGAGCCTGAGCGGTGGGTGTTGCCTTCTGACACACTTCCGGTCATGTCAGGGGGTGTGGCATATGCAAATAAGTTATGCTAATGAGTTATGTAAATGAGCGCCTGCACCTTTTTTCTACGAAATGACCCCTGGGCATAGGGGTTTACAGAATGGGTCTGCAATTTCCCTCCAGCGTTCCTCAGTGTTGCCCATAATTTGCTGAGCGTTAGTCTCAAAGTGCCAGTTTGGTGAAGCGGTTAAGAGCGCCAGACTCTGATCTGGAGAACCAGGTTCAGTTCCCCACTCCTCCACATGTAGCCTGCTGGGTGACCTTGGGCCAGTCACAGTCCTTTAAAAGCCCTTAAAAACAAGTCTAGCTCGCCACTAGCATAACGCCGAGAGCTGGAACTTGCGGCTGCCAGATAACCTTCGGATCTCCTGGCTATTCTACACACAATGTCACACAATAATTAATTAATTTGCCAAGCCCTTTCAGATCTGAGCCCATGTTAAGTTCACTCATTGCTTCTCTCTAGGCAGGGGTCCTTCCATGCCCTGCCATGGATAGTATGCTACTCAGCTGCGGCCGCTCCTGAACAATAAACAGATGAAGCTTCCTTGCCCTTAAACTGAATCAGACTATTGGTCCTCCAAGGTCAGTTTTGACTCCTCAGACTGGCCGTGGCTCTCCAGGATTTGAGGCGGAGGACCTTTCACATCACCTACTACCTGGTCCTCTCAACTGGAGATCCTGGGGATTGAACCTGGGACCTTCAGCATGCCAAGCAGATGCTCTGCCGCTAAGCCACAGCCCCTACGCCCTATCTCCAAGTCATACCACGGTTCCATGTAGTATTACCGGCTCCTCCTGGCAGTGGCTCTCCAGGGTCTTGGGTCGAAAACATCTTTTCCTCAGTATCAGCAACCTGAGGTCCTGTAAGAGGAAGTGCAAGCAATGGAGCCTGGGACCTCTGCAGAGGGATGAACAGATGCCTGCAGTTCTGTAGTCTTTAAGGCATGGCCTGTTTCCACTCCTGGGGGTCATAGGCAGGGCTTTTTTTGTGGAAAAAGCCCAGCAGGAACTCATTAGCATAACAGGCCACACCCAACAGCAGAAACTTATTAGCATATAAGGCCACACCCCTGACAGCACAGCTCATTAGCACATTAGGCCACACCCCCATGTTACCAGAAATGTGGTCATCCAGCCACACCCACCTTTTGCTTCTTATTCTGTTTACCTTGTTTGTTGCCAAAAACCCAGGGCTTTTTTGTAGCAGGAACTCCTTTGCATGTTAGGCCACACACCCCTAATGTAGCCAATCCTAATTAGTTTCTGCTGTTGGGTGTGGCCTATTACGCTAATGAGTTCCTGCTGGGCGTGGCCAACTTGGAAGCCAGCCGGAACTCCGTTCCTGTGCGTTCCTGCCCAAAAATAGCCCTGCATAAAGGTCTTCCCACTGAAGTCTGCAACCTTTGCCAGAGCAGAAATTTCGCTGGTAAGGAGAAATTCAGTTCTTCCTCTCTGCCCCTTCCAAAACACAGGGGTGATAGAATGCATGCATTCTACTGTGATCATTTACTAAATCAGACCACTGGTCCATCAAGGTCAGTACTGTCTACTCAGGCTGGCAATGGCCCTTTCACATTACTTGCTACCTGGTCCTTCCAACTGGAAATGCTAAGGACTGAACCTGGGACCTTCTGCACGCGAAGCCGATGCTCTGCCCCTGAATCACGCCCCCACCCAGGGAATCTCTCAGAAATCCAGGGGTAGCCAAGATCCCTAATACTGCAGTCTTGTGGAAACACAAAATGGGAAGGGAAGGGTGGAAGCAGAGAGCACAGTTTGCTCTCTGCACTCACAGCCACTATTCCAAGCAAGAATAGAACCCAAATCCGGGCTCCGTGGAGTCCTGCCGGCCCTGGGGGATGGATGCTACTCTGTGCTTGAGGCGGTCTGTGAAGGGCAAAATGGTTCTCTGAAGAGCTCCCCAAACACTTACAGAAACTTTTCTAAGCACTGGCTGACCTCTCCAGAACGACAGGAGACATTTGGGGGACGCATGTGCCAAGATTCCTAAATTACAAGATAATTGGATTGCACTCCTCCTATGGGACAGAATTTTCTTTTCCCAAGAGTTCACAGAGCACACAACCATCGCATAATTTAGTGAAAGTGGCCGGGGCACTTCCACGACTTCCACACACACATACCCCGCACCCACTGTGGAAACAACAAATGAAAATATAGTGGCTTTTTAAAAAGGGAACATGTTCAGTCCACTGACATCCTTGGAGTCAGGAGGGGGGCCGAATTCTATTTGAATGCAAAATCTAATCTAATCAGACACACGCAACCTTCCCTACCTTGGCATGCAAAGTATGTGGTCCAACCACCAAGCTCTCCCCTAAGGCAAACTGGTCTTACATACCACCCACCCTTAACAGCGCCCCTGCCCCCAAATCTTCCACATCCTCTAGTTTTCTGCAGTTAAGCTGCTTCCCTCTTTTTCTGCACAGATGCCTGGATCTACTTCCCTTTTGTTTTTAAACTTCAAAGAAGTGGGGCTATTTTTGGGCAGGAACGCACAGGAACAGAGTTCCGGCTGGCTCCTGAGTTGGCCATGCCCAGCAGGAGCTCATTAGCATAACAGGCTACACCCAACAGCAGAAACTCATTAGGATTGGTTACATTAGGGGTGTGTGGCCTAACATGCAAAGGAGTTCCTGCTACAAAAAAAGCCCTAGGTTTTGACAACAAACAAGGTAAACTGAATAGGAAGCAAAAGGTGGGTGTGGCTGGATAACCACACTTCTGGTAACATGGGGGTGTGGCCTAATATGCTAATGCACTGTACTATCAGGGGTTTGGCCTATTATGCTAATGAGTTCCTGCTGGGCTTTTTCTACAAAAAAAGCCCTGCAAAGAAGTACCTTGTCTTTGAAATGCCCTCCCCTTTGAGGCCTGCCTGCCACCTACTTTGCCCTCTTTCAGGTACCAGGCGAAAAGATATCTTCCAATCTTTTAATTAGGGTGTGTGTTTTTTTAATCTTACCTGCTCTTTAATGGACTCCTTTTCTTTTATGGACAGTTTTTAATGCTGATGTCCCATGGCTTGTCTTTTGAACGTCTTGGCTTTTCTTATGATGTGGCACTGGGTTTTTTTCATTGTAAGCTGCCTGGAGAGGGACTCCAAAGAGGCAGCATAGAAACATCCCCAATGAATAAGTAAGAAGCAGTATACTAATCCAGTTTCCCACTTCTCAACTTTCAAAAAAGCCACAGTTTCGGGCATTTGGTGAGAAGGGGGGGGGGGACTAAGGAACGAGTTGCGTAATGCAGACTTCTCTGTAGAGATTTTCTCCTGTTACATAAGAACCTTTTTGCCACTTGGCAGGGATGCAATCCCCATTCACAGGACAGGTGAGCCAGAATGGTTCTGAGAGCCCAAAGGGCGGGGGGGGGGGTGGGAAGACAAGGGGGGTCAGGTGAAGGAGTGATGCTGATTGGTTACTGCAAAGGAATGTGTGTTCTGGGCTCAGCCAATGTACAGATTCATCTAGACTGTGAGGGGCCAAGGAATTTGATGAGGGTGGTATGAACCTGAGGTGGTAGGGACCGAGCTACCCTTGGAGGGGCAGCCAGAGGGGACTCTGACTGCTATTGGCTGACGTGCTGTGACCTCATAGAGGGGCAGGAAAGAGCCCATGAGCAAAAGAAAGACTGAGTGAGGCCCATGGAGGCCAAAGACCAAGGGAAATATGGGGGAGCGGAGCAAGAAATGCCGAAAGAAGGAATGGCCCACAGGCCTGGGGAGAGAGCCAAACAGTGGAACATTGGGCCAGAACAGAGGAGAGGTTCAATTTATATACTGATTTGACATAATCAACTAAATATTTAGCTGGACTAAGCCTCCTGAACTACCCCTGAAAGCGAACTCCTATCTACATTTTTATTCCACCCTTCCTCTAAGGAGCTCAAGACCGCATAACACCAGTCTCCCCTCCTGCGTTTTACCCTGGCGACAACCCCGTGGGGTAGGTTAGGCCGACAGCACATGACTGGGCTGAGGTCACTCAGAAAGCTTTCTCGGAGAGCGGGAAACTGAATCTGGACCCTAGCTCAGCACTTAAACCACAACCCCAAGCTGGCTCTGAGCAGATACGGTCTGACGCTCTAGCAGATCTCCATAATGTCCAGCAGAAGTTGACAGCATTAGCAATCGCTACTAGTAACAGTAAATACTGGCGTACTTTACCACTACCTCTGCCTAGTACTAATAGATAGCAGTGGTATCTAAGAATAATGACTACTAGTGATTACAACTACTAGTCGGAAGTATGAGCAACACTACCTAGAAATAGTAGCCACTCGAGTGAGGAGTACATTAGTCCATACCCCCATCTGATATTCCCTTCTACTGTTTTGCCTCCCGCCTGCCTCTCAAAATAGTAAAGGTAAAAGGTAAAGGTTTCCCTTGCTCGAAAGCCAGTCCAAATCTGACTCTAGCGCTGGCTCTTCGGCTTTGAAACTGAGATGAGCACCACAACCCTAGAGTCGGATTCGACTGGCTTTCGAGCAAGGGAACCTTTACCTTTTGTAATATCCTTTTGGAGATCTGGTGACCAGAATTGTACACAGTATCCAAATGAGGCTGCGCCATAGATCTGTCCAGGGGCATTACAAATGTTGGACATTGTATTCTCAACCCCTTTCCTAATAATCCCTAACACATTGTTCACCTTTTTCAATGCTGCAGCACACTGGGTCCACACTTTCATTGAGCTATCCACTACAACCCCAAGATCTTTTTCCTTCTCAGTCTCAGCAACCTATACTTGAAGTTGTGATTATTATTTTTTGTCCCGATGTGCATCACCTTGCACTTAGCAACACTGAACTCCATTTGCCACATTGTCACCCACTCGCCCAGTTTCTGGAGGTTCTCTTGGGGCTCTTCACGTTCAGCCTTGGTTTTCACCATCCTGAATAATTTGGTGTCATCTGCAAACTCAGCCACTACACTACTCGCCCCTAGTTCCAGATCATTGATGAATAAAGTAAATAGTACCGGCCCTAATGCCGATCTTTTTGAGACCCATTGCTTATTCCCCTCTATTACGACTCTTTGCAATGCTTTCATTTAACTGTAAGAGAACCTATCCTCTTATCCCATGACTGCTAAATTTACTCAGGAGTCTTTGTTGAGGTACCTTTCAAAAGGCTTTTGACAAAGTCCAAGTATATAGTGTCTACCGGGTCATCATAGTCTACAGCCCTGTTCACTTTCTCAAAGAACACCAAAAGGTTGGTGAGGCAGGACTTCCCTTTGCAGAAGCCATGCTGATTTTCCCTCAGCAGGCTTTGTCCCTCTGTGTGTCTAACAATTCTATCTTTGACTACAGTTTCCACTAATCTGCCTGGGACAGACGTTAGGCTGACTGGCCTGTAATTTCCTGGTTCCTCTCTGGATCCCTTTTTAAAAATTGGTGTCACATTTGTTCAGTCTTCTGGTACACTAAGTAACTAAATTTAATGATAGTTTATTTTTTTTATTTATTTAACTTTCAGTTTATATACCGCTCTAAACCCGAGGGGTCTCTGAGCGGTTTACAGACAATTTTAGTTTCCTATCTAGGGCCACATTTTTGTAGGGGAGTGACTGCCTACCGGCACCCAGGCAGCAGAGTCCTGTTGTTATACGGCTCTTCCAGACGGGCTTCAGATGTTATTCTTTCTCGGCGTTCTCTTTGCCTGGCGCCTTGGAACGGGTTTTAAGTCGGCGACTCTCTCCGGCGGACTCAACCACTGCTCCGGCTCACGTCCTTTCCGGCTCCGCCGCGCCGCCACGTCACCACGCCTCCGTGATTCGGTCATCGCCCGAATTCTGCCGCTCGACGTTATGCTCACCAGGCTCACTCTGGTTGATC